TTCATTTTTCTTTTCCTCCTCCTCCTCCTAGATAAATTCTTTCAAAAATACCATCTTTCATCATCTCATGATTTTCTTCGTCTTTCTTATTGATCGTCGTGTCAATCACTGCACATCATTCTTTTTTGATGCATCATGTGTCTGTCTTTGTGCTTCATCTTCTTTAATGGCATGCTAGTCTCTCAGCCGAACTCACTCTGTTTGGGTTGTAGTGCATGATCTATGAAAGCTGCGGCTTTGCGAAAATACTCCATGAAAGATTTTAGCATTGTTAGCAATGATAAAAGGAAGCTTTTTGCTTGCCCTCACCTTTGTACTGTTTTTAAAGTATGCAATGGGGGGTTTCAGTATTTTTTTAAGGCTCATAGGTTATTCATTTCACATTCATGAAAACATCCAGGTCAAGCAAGAACACAAATACCCTTTTCAAATGGATTTCAGCACATCTAGTATAAAAATGTAATGCAGGTCCACATGATTTCTTAAATAAAACATGTCAACACTAGATCCACAGAGTTACTCGCTGTAAAATTCATAGAAAAAGTGATTCGCATATTTGTTGAAGTGGCTTATGAAGACTAGGGATGGAACTAAATATTGATACAGCATTATATCATTGCACTGATTCATGTGATATAATTGTTATATCGCTGGTGCCAAATCTTGATGTTTTAATTTTTGATAAATACAGTGATCGAAACAGTTTCCCCTGCCAGTTTGACTCACCACGTCACCACTTTGTGACTCCTCACAAAGTAGCACTTACAACATGAATGAGGGTAATGTGGACAAAGCTAATTGGCTAATGAAAAAGTTGACGGTGGGATAAAAGAAGAAGAAGAGAACAACAGGATAATGTCAAATAATGTGTTTAAAGGAAGTTAAGAGATGAAGTTTGATGACAGGGGAAACACCAAATTGCAGTTAATACATTAATCCTGAACTTAACCTGTTTTGGGGCTTTTTTATATTCTTCAGTTCATCAGATATCATGGCACATCAATGTACGGTTGTCTTGCAACATATCAATTTTGCTGAATCGCAGGATTGGGATACTTTTGATATTTCTGGTCATATATCATACCTATGTACGAATCATTTCAGAAGTTATTCTGCAATTCCCACCTCTGTTGATCCTGTCTTTGGGCCTCACATTGATAAAAGAGTTGTGTTAGTTTGATTTCCTGACAGCCAGGACAGTGGAGGCAGCACCACATATGACGCACACATGCTCCGTTAACGCAGCTCACTTCCTCCATTGGGATTTCCCATTGGGATGCTAAACGCCCAATGCTACACTGAGGGATCTAAGTTTGACCCTGGTTATTAATTAGCGGTAGCACCTCACTGCTGAGAGAGGCACACCAGTCAGCACACACACACTGCTGACACTCATTCTGTCTCCATGAGTAGTTACACACACAGGTACAGTATGCACACACTTCTTGGTTTGTAAGGCGGGTAATTCTCCACAGCACATTACATCCGAACAGTCGGTGACTGTGCCTGTTTCAATAAGGGAATTCTGAACTACTATTGGAGGAGAAATGCTTCAAAACAAGTGAAGCAGAGAATCACAGGAGAGCCATCTGAACACACACTAAGAATAGTTGAGGAATAGTTTTTTTTATGGCTTAGTGCTATAAGATGCATCAGTGACAAAAGACAGGAGAGAGGTGTTAATGTGTGTTTCTATGAGGCAGCTCAGTGGTTTTTTAAATGACTTCTTGAGTAATGACTTCAAGCTTTTACTTGTTGTACAATAGCTAAAAAAAATCAGACATGTGAAGATACAGTAACAGAAGTATTAAAAATTTAAAAGACATTACTGCCAAAAGGAGAAAAAAACATTTGTAAATTAATATACTGTACAGGTCCTGCAGAGCACCAGTGGATATAAAACAAAATTTGGGCAGATGGAGATTCATGTTTTATTTTGTCCTGTTTTTACAGAACTAACCAAAAGGATAAGATATTTAATTTAACAAATCAGAAAATATTCACTTTTAAGAAGCTAAAGCGAGTGAGCAAGTTACCAAAAAATGTATGGTGCAAAAAAAACAATTGCAGATTGAACCTATGTCAGTTCACTTACCAATGAAATCATTGATAGTGTCATGAATTCTTCCATGCTGTACGTCAAAATCCTACCTCCTCATCATATGCCATTCCTTGTGGAATAATTGTCCCCATATACACGTTGTGCACTCAGGCACAATAATGACACCTCTTCAGAAAGGGACGAATCCAGATTTCATCTTACAATGGGGTCTCTGAAGGTTTTTAAACATGCAGCTAGAGAGTGAATGTCTCTCTTTGGAGTAGTTTCATAGCTCAGTAACACACTGGCCGGCAGGTTAATAAAGAGGAACAAACACACACACATTGCTGTATAAAATCATGTTTCCTCCGGGATTATTTTATAGTACAGTAAGACATTGGAAAGCACTGTGGGCTCGTTAAACACACACACACACACACACACTCTGCATAGGGTGTGTAAAACAATAAAAACACAGGCGCATACATGCTGTACATCAAAATAAAATCAGATAATGTAAGGACTACAGGTGCTTTACAGGCTTTCAGGGATCACTAATTGTGAATATTAAATGTTTTTACTTCCGCTGCCATCATTTAGATACTTGTCTGTATAAGTCGTTGAATATTTATTTGAAGACAAAAGAATTCCAGTGATGTTATTTTGCTCTGAATATCTTCCTCTTATCACCACTATGCTTCAGTCTGTTTCTCATTTGGCTCGTATTTGATCCCCGAGCTCTGCTGCAGGTCTGGAAAGTGTGGCGAGTGTTTCTTTCTTCTTTTTTCTTTTAGCTTTCTGACAGAGAAGTCCATATTAGAAAGTGTGAGTGCTCAGCTGCCGAACACATGTTAGACAGTTTGTAAAGCAGAAAGGCCCGATTCTTACGAGATTCGTTCACATACTGTTTTGTCATATACCTGGATAACTCACACAACAGACCTGGAGCTGTAGCAAAACACACACACAGCAGTGATGTTTTAAAGTGCAGAATGTGTCCGATCTCTGCAGCTTTTAACTCCATCATTGTCTCTTCACTCCCCTTACTTATCCGTCTCACTCCAGAGCGAAATGTTTGGTGATGTATTTTGTAACGGACTGTAACCTTTTGGCAAGTTTTAACTGGAAAATACTGTAACCAGCACTATTTTCAACTCCGATAATGACCTTGTATGAGTGTGTGTTTGTTAGGTCTCTGTGCGCTTACATATATTACATCAAACACTGTACTTTGTTTGTGTTTTGGAATGTAGTTAAACTACTCTTGAACACACAACGTAGAGGCTCTGGAAAAAAACACAAAAATAACTCCCTGTGTGTGTGTGTGTGTGTGTGTGTGTGTGTGTGTGTGTGTGTGTGTGGGTGTGTTTGTGGGTGTGTTGTGTTTGTAGTAAATGAGGTGAAGACTCTGAATCAAAAGTGACAGTTACTTTGATTTACTGTCGACTTTCATTGTCGCAGCAATGCTGAAGAAGAGCGTGCAAGAGTGTTTTTTTTAATCCTACAAAAAAAAAAAAAACACCCACATCTTGTGCTTTGATTTGTTTGCCAGGATGCTCAAACCCATGAAGTTGTTGAATAATGAATGTTGCATATACAGGAGAGTTGTTTATCTATATTGTGTTTTATTCATTATCAGTGTCCAAAAATCTGCCTGTCTGCAGTTTGTTTTTCTTTTTTTTTGACGGCGCAGGCTAGATCAGATTTAGAAAATGTGTCAGAGACAAGTGTCTGGGATGGATATGAATCCTGTTTTATAGGTTTTACATGAGTCAATTTACATAAGACATGCAAGAAACTAGACAGTATATAAATCTCTTAACTCAGTGCATGAAGACAATATTCATCATATTAAAAGAAAGAAGAGAAGAAATACATTTATTGTCCAGGTATTCACATTCTGATATATAATTGATAAGTTGGGAGTGAGAACATGTTGCTACACTAAACACAGTGTCAGTGGACAGTATGTGACTGCACTGAATTAAACACATTGTCAAAATCTGAGAAGACTTTTAAAGAATATTTACAATTTTTGAATCTAATTGGTTTAAGGGAATCAAGTGAAAAAAACTGTTATAGAGCACAGATGATGTAAAATGTTGCTGTGCTCAGTGAATGTATCCGCCTATTGAAACTCTGAGTGTGTGTGTGTCTGTGCTAAGTGACGATAAGCATGAAGCAAAGGGTGAAGACAGACACCACTATAACCGAGCCTACTTCCCTACACACACACAGCCCTCTTAACATGCTTCCTCTGCACTTAAATCCTTCTTTTCCCCAAGGAGAGGAGAGGGCCTGTGTGTCTTTTCTGTGTGTGTGTGTGTGTGTGTGTGTGTGTGTGTGTGTGTGTGTGTGTGTGTGTGTGTGTGTGTGTGTGTGTGTGTGTGTGTGTGTGTGTGTGTGTGTGTGTGTGTGTGTGTGTGTGTGTATTTGTCTCTTGGGGGGTCTTGTCTTGTACCCCCAAAATTGTGCATGTAGCTCCTCTTTCCCATGCTCACACACACACACACACACACACACATTAGTCACAGCCACTGTGAAACAAATGTTGCCATTAAACAAAGGAATTTTTTCAGAATAAAATATTAACAGGGAACTTTCATAGCTCTAGAAGTTCCTCTTTCACTCTTTCTTTAAAAATGCATTTTTTTAAATCCATTCTGGTGCAGCTTGCATCAGATCTAGTTTCTCGCCAAAATCATCCATCACCATTTTTTTATGTTTGTGTGTGAATTCTAATAAATTGTCTCATTTATTCCCCCCCCCACAGATTCTCTCTCCTCTCCTGGATCTCAATCAGAATCGCAGCAAACTGAAGCTGTACATCAGTCACCTGACCTCACTGTGTCAGGAGCGAGACCCAATCATATTGCAGGACTTTGCCCCGCCCCCTGCCTATCACCGTTCTGACTCCGCCTCCTGGCATACGCAGCTGCACAGCATGACACAGGAACAGGTGAGACAATTGTGTGTGTGTGTGTGTGTGTGTGTGTGTGTGTGTGTGTGTGTGTGTGTGTGTGTGTGTGTGATCCTGAAATATGTGGGAAAAAATCACAGAAAGTGGCGACGTTCATCAGTCCTCGGTTACAACTCTATGTGTGTTTATGTGCTCTTTCTTTACATAAGTGATGATGTCTGTGTTTTTGTGAGATTATTCCCCGTGTGTGTGTGTTTGTAGCTGTGTGGACGTGTGTGTAGGAGTCGGGCACACACTGGTTCACATGGCAGTTTTTTGGCGCTGCCTTTGACATTAATGAAAAAGATTTACTCCAACGGGTCACCTGACGACAAGCTGCTGGCTGTGAAACAAAATCTTTTTCAGACGTTTTATTTTACGGGGAGTAAACTCTGCTCGGAGCTTTTGGCAGCGGAAGGAGAGTTAGTTCATATACGGAGCAAGAAATGGAGAGACGAGAATATTTATTTACATGCCGAGCGAGATGTCATCCGAGAGTGGGAGGAGAGAAAAGGGAAATGAGGATAAAGACAGAGAAGATGAGGTTTAGGGGAAGATTAAGAAAGATTGGCTAACCGGACTGCCCTTTTGCAGCGCCACTGTCATGGCAACTACAAGTGTATTCAGGTTTAGAATATAAACAGTATATTATTAGATTAAAATATTTTGTGGCTGTCTACAGCTTCCCTCTCTCTCTCTCTCTCTCTCTTTTTCGCCATATTGAAAACATATCAGGCGATACATGGCCGCTACATGTGGTATACATTGAAAAACTGTAACTCTAGACACACACTCTTAAAGAGCAATGTGACAGAGTATGTGGTCAGTGTACAGCACGACTAGTTTCCTCATGAAAGCGCTATTGTATGTCTTAATGCAGGGAAATGTCTCTGATTAGCATGAGTGCTGTGGATAGCATGGCACAGCATGGTATGGTGTCACTTTAAATAAACTTTAGATGTACTGAATTATATCGTCATTTAATCACTGTTTCCATTAAGGCACAGAGAAATGCTCCATGCCTCTTTAAAACACAATCACTGAATGTATTTTTCATAATCAGCTTATTTCCAGTAGCTTATCTAACAAGATTGAATGCTTTCAGACAACCAACCAACCACCATTCAGTATTTTATTTCTTCCTCATATCTTTAAAAACCCTTCAAGTAATTGAAAACCTTCAAACCAATCTGTTCTCATGGCCACATACAGGCCAAACGTCTAAGCATACAAACAAAGAAAACAAGCACTTAATGGAATATTCTACCAAATATCTGTAAAAGACTTTCAGAACACGTTTTGGACAGTGTGTTTTATTTCACGCTCTAAAGAAACATTGTGTAAGCAGAGGCTGAATTCAAGGTGAACTTGAGGAGACCGACTCTCAGGGTCGTCATGATGAAATCACAGATGTTATCTCGTGGTTGGAGACGGAACGTGGACTGTGATCTGTGTTAAAAGTCACTTACTCAGATAGCGGAAAAAAAGGTCATTTGCATCACGAAGGTGTTTGCTTTGAAAAGTTATTTCTGCAAATTTATATTAAAAAGCCTGCGAGTCAGAATACCATGAATCATAAAATAAGAAAACATACATTAGGACTGTTGCTTTTGTCCTGTTTACATGAATTCATTGTGTCGTATGCTTTGGGTTTAGTGTCTGTGTGTTTGTATATTTTCATATACTATTGTGAAATATGTCTGTTAGTATTATTTTATGGAGTTTTATAATTTGATATATAATCAGGGGAGGTTTACTTAGTGTGCATTGAGATGTTGGCGGGCTAACATGACTGAATGTCTGGTTTTATTTGTAGGTGTTAGCTGAGATTTGGCCTATCAAGGCTGAATGCATTTAAGATTGGACATGCATTTGCAATCAAATACATGGGGTATTGCAAGTAAATAGTTGAAGAGCCACAAAACACTGGATGCTCCTTGAAGTCTTGTATCCGTCGTGTCTGAAGAACAGTTTCTAAACTCTTTTTTCGCTTGTTTAAAATTACACTTCAGTTCTAAATTAGAAATCAAATCAAAAAGAGTTATTTCAATGAATGCTCATTTTGTTCTTGGTCAACGTTTGGTGGTGGAAAAAGAAGAAGTTAATTACGATTGTGCTTCACAATTACATACTTGCAAAGCAACACGGAGGCTTCTTTTATCCTGAGGTTTTGGCTTTTGGGTGAAAACTTTTCATTCTTTTTATCACATTCTTTTCCATTTTTGACACCACTTTTTCATCTTCAATCTTTCTCCAGACACATTTGTTTCTTTTTCCTGAAGAAACATCATTTATCTCTACCTTATAGTTCTTTTAAAGTCTCTCTGACTCTCAGCTTTTGCTCTTGCTTGCTCCATGCCAGTGTAGGTGTAAGGGCAAGGGAGTTTTTAAATTCAAGGATTTCTTCCCCTTTTTCTTCTGTGATTTAGTCAAATGTTTCCCTTCACATCAGTACAGTTAGAATCTTTCTGCCTCTCCTTGACTCTCCATCCAAACCCACTCGTACCCGGGCTGTGCCACTTGGCGCCATGAGTCTGCATTAGACCCCAACCCTGCCTACACACAATCGCCAGACGTACACTGCCCGTCTTTCATTGAGGCCCGTGTTTCTCGTTTTCCTTCATCATGTGTCACCATCACCCTGGCTGACCCTCTTGATGCGCACACACACGCTCACACACAGACTCCCTCCAGACGGCCATGTTCCAGTGTGCCAGCCTTGCTTCTCTGTCTTGTGGTGAGTGTGTGTGTGTTTTACAAGCCTCTCCCTGGCTCTGTTAAAATGCCTGGCACTCTGTAAAGCCATTAGGATCATACTAAAATAGCATGTAAAACACACATGGTCAGACACACAAACACACAGAGGGAAACCAAGGAATATCACGCCCACACATGCATTAACATGAAGGCACAACAATCGTGAATGACTACTGGAGACTGCTCATGTAACTAGATTAAACGTCGCGCTAACACAGCTCTGCGAACTGGAATTAAAGCCAAAAAAGTAGCCTGGCTGGCATGTTAGAGGAAAGGGTGGTGGGTGAGAACAAGCCAGTCTTTAGGGGTTTATCAACTGGGAAACTCCCCGTTCAGATAACTGGTTGCATTAAGGGCAAGAACCCCACAAGGAGCGTCTTTCTGGTTTTACCCAGCCGAATCTCTGCTTTCTGTGCTGATAAGCTAAAGCAATCATGCAACTGTAGAAGGAAACTGCACACAGTACTTACGTTTCAAATATGCAAGCAAAAAAAGGAATGCGTTTTAAAGAAACTGATGTATGTGCTTTTATTTTTAAAGAAAAGAAAACCATGAAACTGTTTAAACACAACAATTTAAGTTGATCGACATGTTTTGGGTTGATTCCAACAGCAGACATAACAGGAGAAAGAGTTGCGCAATACAAAGAAAAGCCCCCAGTTTCTGCTGAAAGACCGTTTTAGATGATTGTGAAATCACAATGAAGCATTTGGTTTCTTGAGCTTCTGAAGCATAGAGAGGAGAGAAAAAGACATGGTAAAGCATTCACAACAACATTGCGTGTTAGCTGAGGCGTAGTTTCTTAGAGTTGTGGCTTGAGAGATGCCAAGACTGAAACATCTCAACAGCCTTTGGCACATCTGCTCTGAGCCCCACTGAGCTTAGGTATAGACAAACACAGAGGCATGCATAGCTTTAAGCTTTTAGCTCCATTCAGAAGGCCTTAACGTGTCTGACCAGAGCTGAAGCTCAGTGTAGGAGCTGTTAGCGAAAAAGGTACTCGCGCTTTCAAACGATGGATTTGCTGCAGACATTTTTTTTAAGCTCGTCAGTTCCTGTGTATTTGTTTCCATGCCTCTGTTTAACCTCGGCTGAACTACAAATACAACACCGACTCCAAATGTGAGGTTTTACTAAAAGACCTGTTTTCTGTGCCACACTCATAATAATAACCTCTATGGCTCAATGACGTCTCTAATGAGCACTGAAGAGAACTGGCATAACAGTACAAACACACACACAGACAGGAAGTCTCTTTCTCCCTCACTGACCTGAAGTGTGAAGTTAAAATAATAGGCATGTTTTTTTTATCTCTCTCTACATATTTCATTACATAGAGAAAGCAATAAAGGTTTATTTTACATGTTTTGTGTTTGTATGACTAAACGTTCAAGAGTGTGCGTGTGTGTGTGTGTGTGTGCATATAAGTTTCAAGCGTGTTCGTTTGCTTGTGTTTGGTTATCTAAAAATAGTTGTATGAAGTGTTATTGGCTGACTTTATATCGCTGCTCTTTAAATCGAGTTTGAATCGTCAGCCCTCGACCCTCTATCTGCTCAAAGTAAGACGGCTCCCAGTGAGTGACTGCGAGCGTTTCTGAGCCAGAGAAAACTGGAGAACCCTCAGAGAAAACAGAGTCCACACATTTACAACTCTTCAGGTCGCTTTAATGAAGGAAAATACTGCACAATTACAGACTTCATGTGTCCTTGTTTTTACATGGTGATCACCAAATGCAAGGTACGAGGTTTCTCCTTGGCTGACGTGCATCATTCGAGCTTATACAACAGGTTTCCAGGGCTTGTTTTCAGACATCTAAAGAGAAATATATCTGTATAGAAACCTCCAATGCACAAAAGTAACACCATCATGCTCCTGCTGCTACGCTTCAAGCAGTTTCAAACTCTGTGAATTCTCACTGATAAATAAACACTGTAAAACAAAACAAGTTCTAAAGATCTGGTGAAATCAAAGAGGAGAAAACAGCAGACAGCTGAGGCCTTTATGTCAAGATACTAGTCATGGTCAAAGTTGAATCATTCCATTTTTAACAAGTGGATTTAACTCAATATTTGACAAATTGACATAGTTACTTCTTCACAAACAAACTGCAAAAAAATCTCTTTAAATCTTAGACAAACTAAGTTTTTATGCAACCCAACTTCTTTAGTTTTCAGATGCATGCAATCATTGTTGTTTCAGCTCTGCAGCCCGATGCCCCGTGGCACACTGATGCCCTCCTCAC